CGGGCGGAGCGCTCAGGAGAGAGGACGGGAAGGGAACGGGGCACGGGCGATGGGTGATGGAGGAAGGACAATGGACGATGGAGCTAGGACCATGGACGATGGAGCAAGATCAAGGTTCGATGAAGCAAAGGCATTGGATGATGGAGGAAGGACAATGGACCCTGGAGCAAGGAAAATGGACGATGGGGGACTCCTTTGGGGAACTCCTCGACCGATGGGGGACTCCTCGACCGTAGACGATGGTGGAAGGACAATGGACGATGGAGCTAGTACCATGGATGATGGAGCAAGAACAAGGTTCGATGGAGCAAAGACATTGGACGATGGAGGAAGGACAATGGACCCTGGAGCATGGAAAATGGACGATGGGGCAAGGACCTTGGATGGTGGAGCAAGAACAAGGTTCGATGGAGCAAAGACATATGACGATGAAGGACAATGGACGATAGAGCAAGAAAAATGGACGATGAGGCAAGGACAATGGCGATGGGGAAGGGATGGCATCGGTGAACGCGGGGTAGAGTGCGGGTGACGAAGTGTGAAGAACGGAGGCGAAAGACGGAGGCCCGACCGCATACGCCCCAAAAGAGTAGGCGAAAGAAGGGGTGAAAGACGATGGGTGAGTGCGGAGTACGGGAGTACAAAGCACGGGGTGAAAGACGGTGGATAGAAGGACGACGAACAATGTGGGACGATGGTGGGAAAATGATAAGGTGGGAAAAAGAAGAGAGTGCGGAGGACCGATGACGTAGAGTGGAATGGGGTCATAAGGTGAAAGAGGCACGAAAATGAGGAGGAAATGAACGAAAACAGCAAAAGTAAACAGGGGAGAAGTAATTTTTGATGCTGGTAGACAAAGAACAAGGAAGTGGGACATGGACGGGACAGAGCGAGGGAATAGAAGAAAGGTTCCTCAATTGTCAATAGAACTAAACCAATTAATTGTAGTGGAAGTTGAAATGAGAGTTTGCCGAAGAGAGGACAGAGGTTGAACGTGATGACGCCTGAAAGGATTCCGGTAATGTGTCCAACATTTTTATTTCTTCCTTGGTGAGCAGGCCAGTACAAGGTGGTCACCCGGGCGAATTCATTGTACCCGTTTTCCCTCCTTTGCCTTTTAAGACGCCCAGAGGAACCACAGGTTAGTTGGTGGTTTACACGTTGTCGATACCATCGCACCATCCGTTAGAGACTTCCTCCGGCAAGCTGCGACTGGCTAAATTTCCATGTGTGACCACCATGGTTCTTGCCAATGATCCCCACTCGGTCGCCGATGTGGCTCACGGGCTGGTGTTTTCGTGGTGTTCCTACTATTTTGCTCTAGCGTAGCCCTTGAGCCCCTAATTGCCAGAAGCTAATTGGTTGGTAGAGGGATCATGGTCGCACCTAGTTAGCACCCACTAAGGCCCTTAGATACGTACAGAACGCTACCCGGTGTCACCAGCTCTAACCGCCAGGGGCCACAGAAACTGACGCGCTCATGTGCAACCTGCTCGAGTACTAGGATCACAGTCCTGGCGACAACACCATAGACAGTCAAGTATAGATGGGATAATGTTCGAAATGTGATGCATGGTAGGTAGCACAATACATATGTAAATACCCATGCTAATGCTGGATTCGAACTCGTAGGTCTTCTTGCCGAAGCCTCTAAAGAGGCAATAGAGTGGAAACATATTCTGGCAATATTTGTACCCGTTTTATAAATTTGTTGGCGCATAAGGGAAGTATCTCAAAATTCTTTATTTTTTAGTAAACTGAAGGAATATAATTAGAAAATTGTCACTTTCTACTAGTGATCATTTCATTAAGATGGACTAGATCCGATATGTAGAGTAAAATACTCCTTCTTTGGTCACGAAATTAATAGCTCCGCTCTCTAGAACATTACTGCGAAATGACCATTTTCGAGACATCATTTTCTTGTGAACAATATTCTTATATGCTGGAAGCAGGTACCAACCGAGCCGTGACTCCACTTCTTGCAAAGAAAACCAAGTTTATAGAGAATGCTTCGATTAAGTTTATTACGCCAATCAGGTACGCATTCAGGAACTGCCCAACAAAGATACACATGCAGGACTATACGAGTTTGAAAGTTTTTGAAAAAGCTTCATTTGCTGTTAAGGTGTAAAAAATATTAATTTTCAATTTGTAAGTTCTCTGTGCTAATTCTTGTCGTGGATTTCTTTTATGCACAACACATCACGCGAACGAAATTCACCGACAGCTCTTACTGGCATGTTTACTGTTGTGCTGCATCATGACGACATTGCTCGTCCACATACGGCGCTACAAACAGTAACCGTTCTGCATGAGGCTGGACGGTTTGCAATTGTTTAATCATCCCCCAAACTGTCGTTAACTCCCAACCAGCGATTTGTGTCTTTTTTGGCACCTGAAGACATTTCTGTCCTCCAGACAGCGATTTCTCAACGACGAAGAGCTGAAGACTACTCTGTCTCGCCGGTACCAGTCGCAAGCCTCACACTTCTACGAGAAAGGTATACAAAAGTTGACACCACGACATGACAAGTGCCTCAATTCGAGTGGTGACTAAGACTAAAAATAGTTCAAACATTGCTGTACCTGTTTCGAATAAAAATTTGCATGTAACTAAGTTGCTTTTTATTTCACAAGAAAGGACAACGTAGTTCCTGGATGCGCTACGTAAATACGATATTTTTGAATATGCATAGGACTAATTAGTTTCATGAATAATTAATGAACCAACATTTTTTTGATCATTGAAATCACGTAGGTTTCGAGACAACTTAACAACACATCCTCACTCAATCAGTGATGCCTCGTCCTTCATAAAGCTACTGTATACAAATCATTTAAATTCATTTTTCGTTCAACTCCCCAAAAAATTGATAACTGGCACGCAGGATTCCAGGCTCATTTCTCTTCTTCACTTAAAACTCCAGGCATTCTTCACTACGGCGGAGCTTAGGACACGGACAGGCAGATCACGTGACGGCGATCAATCTCATTAGAGCAGCCACCCTCTCCGATGCACGAGAGCGAGCATGTCCGGGGCATGCCTAAGCGAGGGCGTCTCCGACACCCTCCAAGCTTCCGTGACTGCCTCCAATATGGACCTCACGGACAGGTAATCAGTCATATTTCCTTAATAATGCTAGGCGTCGTCCCATAGGCCTTTTTTTCAGCGTCTTTCTCTTCTGTGTATTCTACACGCGTTTACACGCTCCTCTTGTGAGAATTTTTCGTTTCTATTCATTGAAAACGTTTATTTTTCTACACAGTAATGATCACTCCCATGCATCAATTCATAATTTACACTCCCATGCTCCTTGTTTCTTACAATAATTTTCAATTCTGCTGTTTTTCTCTACTTATCATGTTCCTTTGTCAATCTCAATCGTCACCCCTCTCCTGTTAGATTGCTTAGAATAACAATTAATTCTATGAGTATTGCTTCCATTCTCATTTTAGAATTATTATGCATAATAAGGCATTATGCCTCTTAAGACTCATTGAGCCATGTGTAGATATATTTTCTTAGTTGAAATGTAGATTTTTCAACTTATTGCGACCTTAATTCACGACAATTGTTCTGCATTTCATGATCCTCAATGATTTAACTGTATAACAATATCATTTGTCATAATAAAGCAATTTTGTTTGGAATTTATAGGTTTAAAGATTTTAAACTGAATGACAATAATATTACGTATTCAGAAATAATTTAATTCTAAATAATATTCTAGATGCACATGATTTTCGTATTTTCTTAAGTTACATTAAATAAATAAATAAATAAATAAATAAATAAATAAATAAATAAATAAATAAATAAATAAATAAGTAAATAAATGAACGAACAAACATAATAACGAACGATTACAATTGACGCGAATGAATGAATAAAGTCATTTTCTTCAAATTAAAGAAAGATCCAAAAGGAGGAAATCAGCAAGTTATGCTACTCTCTGTACACAAGGTTTTAATTTATGGTAATGTAAAGTTTTTACATTTCTCTTATTTTCATCAGTGTCTGTGTTTTATCGTGCAAGGACGCGAGTCCATCGTTTTCACTCCACGTAACTCTCCTACTTTAACGTGGCTGTCCGGTCTGCTTCTTTAGGGTTTTTGATCTCCATTCCTCGCTTCCCTCCAGCATTTTACAACCAGACGGGAGCGGGGGGCGCATCGCCAGCAATATAATAATAAAATTAAACACCAGTGTATAAATTTCTTGTTAACTTGTAAACAGGCAACGAAAAACGAGACAAACGCAGGCGCGCTTAAGCATGTATTTACATGGTAAAACAAGATACTCCATAAGAGCAAGAATTAAAGAGAAAATCCCGGCGGTGCTTTTCAACACACTTCCTGTAAGATCCAAACGATATTCGTGTTTGTCACGAAAACGTCTGCCCGACGAAGCGCCAGCCGTGAGGCCATCTCGTTTACGGGAAGGGCAAAGCGTGGCGTTTACGAGGGGGGGGGGAGAAGGGAGGCGCGAGTGGGATGGCTGGTGCAACAGTGCATCGTAGGGAACGGAGATGTTCCGAAATCAAAAGCGGTAATATCTTGCACCTGCCAAAGATAAAATGATAGAAACGAGGAAATTGTTGATCCAAAAATGTACTACTATATGGCGGAAAAATGTATCCATTTTAGATGCATCACAGTAAGTTTCATATCACTGGATTTGATAATGCAAATTGTGAAAATTAATTCAAGTGTATCGACGTTCCGGAATTTACAGTTCCATCTTGTGGCTATAAAGTAAATGGTAGGTAACCATCAATTGATTGTAAAATGAGATATACGATTGAGAAAGTGTTGATTTCTTACAGTTGCTGTGAATTACCATAAGCAGAATAGAACGACTACTTTTGTGGCTCCCATCCAGCAGACAACTGATGATGATGGCTAAGCCATCGAAAGCTGCTCTTACATTAAATAATATTGTTGGCAATGACAACGTCTTTAATTATTTTATGAAAAATGCCAAAGATATAACACCACAACACCTATATTAAATATGGTAAATTAACGGTGTTGTCTGGTGTCAAAAAATGTATGTATTTTGCTAAAGATCGTTTCGATCGCGTAGCGCTCATCTTCAAGGATCCTCATATTTAATTATTTGAAGGTATCTACCTCACCAGCGATCTAAGTAATGGGAAAACTAAATTCGGAAAGGTCCTACAATCCATTTCTCCCCTTTGGAACGCTAGTGCAGCGGAGGTGATTGTGACGACCAGGCGCCTGATCCAGCAGCAGCCAACCGCGCTGCGCAGGGTCCGAACCCCTCCTCATTCCGGTAACGCGGCGTCAGCCGGGAATCAAGATGTCCCCAGCGTTTACGACGACCCCGCGCAGTGGCCACGATCGGCAAGTTCGTCGGCCAAAGCGGATCTTTCTGCTGCAAACGGCGCCCAGTTGCCTAGCGACTGAAGACCTTACTTATTATCATTCAAACGCTAACAATTTGTATTATTACAGGATCAATCTCCTATTCATTCTGATTTTCTTATATTTTATTTTTTATCTACCTAGGAGGGATACTAGTATTATTCATTTACATTACAAGACTAGCATCAGATGAAATATTTCAATTACCTATTAAAACTATAATTAATAATCTCATAATATCTACCATTACCATCCTAATCATAAGTAATATATACAATCATATATTATCATTTCATATATATATAAAAATGATTCTTTCACAAACAAAATTATTAATATTATAATAGAAAATAATAATTTAAATAAACTTTATGATTATCCAAACTTCCTTCTAACAATTATTACAATTATTTACCTTCTAATTACATTAATTATTATTGTAAAAATTACCTCTCTTCATGAAGGACCTTTACGACACTCAAACTTATAACATGTATAAACCTTTACGAACATACCACCCATTATTTAAAATTATTAACAATTGATAAATTGATTTACCAACGAAATCTAATATCTCAACATGATGAAATTTCGGATCCCTATTAGGATTATCTTTACATCTCCTCTCCACTTTTCGGAACCGGAACTCAAATCTCTGGAACTGCTGACGAGGCAAAGGGCGTCAATTAATGTCACTGCTGGGCCTCTGTCATCGCGGTCCAGGGGATCGAGTCCCGGCGGTGGAAGCATTTTCGACACTAGATGGATAGCTAGATCGAACTTAGCTGCTGTCTGGTAAAGAATTCTAACGACCGGCTTCTGTGATCGGTAGTTGCACGAATACTGAAGCAATACTCTAGCAAAAGAGCCCGGACCGCGCGCGATTCCTCGTCCTTGCGCTATCTTTACCCCTTACTTACACACACACTTCCATGCACTATACTATCATACGTCTCGAGAGACCGGTCGGAAACTTATAACTTGTCCCGGCTGGGGCGGTGCTACGCTAATGGAAGATCCTTGGATGAGATTAACAAACTCACCTGTAGGTCGGCGCTAGGTCTCACCATCCAGTGAGGGGGGCGCCACCTCTCGTTATTGAAGCATGTACTACACTTACGGGTCTCATGACCATATCAATTGACGATCCCCGAAACACTAATTAATCTCTGTCGATCCTACCACCGTAGCAATAATTTTTACAACATTCGACTGTATGCACCGGTTTATAAACTCAGGGCGGCCCCGCATAGTAGCGGGTATTTTCGCTTTTTTTCCATATTCAGACACAAGGTCTAAATGTCGTGTTATCCATGTGTTTCGGTGGATGAAATGAGTTTGCTGCTGGATTTCTAGGGGTTCTCTTCTCTCCCGAGACTCTACCGTTGATTCATCAGCATTGAAACCGTATTCGAAAATAATCTCCAGATTATCTACTTAGGTGAGACGGGTAGAGCAAGGGCTGACGCTCTAACTTTCTACATTTGGTATTTGGTTTTAATCCCGGGCGATCCTCTTAGAATTTGAGGTGAACAGAGCTAGTTCTGGGAAAGTTTGCTACGGTTTTCTCGGTAGATTAGGCTGTTTTTTCAGAAATGATATCCTAAAAAATGTTTGGGAAGATTGGGACAACGAATTGACGAATGAAACGAAGACCGTTTTACTCCGCCCAGTCTCAATCCTAAGACTGGTCTTGAAAAATTTTGTTTTTCAATTACCTCACTTTGGACACTTCAAAGTGTGAGAATTGTACATGAGGTACATCTGGATTATTTGTGTCCCTGATAGGGACATTTTAAGAATTGCGCAATACGGTAAACCAAATGCTCTAGAAGAAAACGACCCCCGACATCCTAATTTTCTTACCTGTTAATTTGCACGATGAGATTTCCTGTACTCTCTGCCTCTCCTTCCACCATTGCTACCTCATTATTCATTGTATCTTCATCAGTATAATATGAACATTAGGAATTATATCAACATTGAGCATTCGTATATGACTCAAGACTCAGAAACAGGAAATCATGGTCACATTTTGAAAAATATCTTCAAATGAAGGAGGATGAATATTCTTGTCTGAAAGTTTAGCTTCGTAGTCTGAAGCTTGCTCCAGTGTGTGAACCCGTATTGATTTTCAGCAACTACATAGTATTTCGTATAATTGTGAATATTTTAAAAATATATGGAGTGATTGGCCGTGGATGACTCAATTGCCGAGGATCAAATAGAATAGACTTTATTTTGCATTCAATATCATCTACTAAATCCACTTTAAATTTGTTTGAATCAAATAACCTACAAACCCTGTTATATCATCAATTGATCGTGTGTTGCGGAATAAGTGTAGTAATTAGCAGATGTGATGAGCTATGATTGTTACTAACTGCATGAGATTAAACGTATCGGAAACTATTGCACTGAAACCCATTACATTCATCTTAATTTCGCCCTCTAATCCAGAACCAACACACCCACTGCGTATCACCAGTTGCCCGGGCTCAAACATCCACGTGAAAGACCCCGACGCGGCCGCGAAAACAAAAACAAACAAGAAAAGACAGAAAAGAACGAAACATGGACTCTTCTTTAACATATTTGGAGAATTCCGACGCGGCCTGATTCCGGTTCACCGGTTCACGGCCCATAGCCCGGCCCGCGTCGGCGCTCTTGGCTCGTTTGGGTGGGAAATATCGTCTGTATTTCCTTCGCGCCTGTCCTGCTTTACGGCGGGCGGGTGGCCGCACGGGAACGCTGCGATGGGACAGCTACGGCCGCGGCTGCGGCGCGCCTACAACTATACTGTGGAATTGCTTCTCCCGGGACGCGATTGCAACGACGAGGGATGACGAGGCGTAGCTGAAAGAAAAAAAAAGTCAAAAACTGCGCGCGAGATAAGAGTGGCGTGCATTCTTTCACTGGTGACAAAAAACTTGATTAGTGGCGTGTAACTGCCGGAAGCTATTTGCAGTTTTGAAGCAATTGATTTGAAGTTTTGGGCTGAGATACCACCAGACTCATCGTCTAGAACCTTCTGCTTCTTAGATGTTTTAATACAATAATAGATGATACAGGGAGAAACGAAACTAGTATTCATTCATTGCAATGTCACTTCTGAATCTGTGAAATGTGTTACGTTTTAATGTGGCTAGTTACTTTTTACCTGATTGGTAACGTTTAATACCAAGCTGTGCAATAGAGTTGAAGTTTTGGACTGATATAGTACCAGTCTCAACGTCAAGAACCTTCTGCTTCTTAGCTGCTTTAATACTATAATACAGTCACAGACGAAACTAGTATTGATTCATTTTAATGTCACTTCTGAATCTGTGAAATGTGTTACGTTTTAATGTGGCTGGTTACTTTTTACCTGATTGGTAGCGTTTAATACCAAGCTGTGCAAGAGAGTTGAAGTTTAGGATTGACTCAGCACCAGTCTCAACGTCTAGAACCTTCTACTTCTTCGCTTCTTTAATACTATAATAGTCACATACGAACCTCGTATTCATTCATTGAAATGTCATTTTTGAACCCGTGAACTTCCTTACTTTTTAATGTGTATCGTTTGATGTCTATAAGCATTATTATTAAAAACGGCAAGGCACCTCAAAGAAACGAAATTTGTATAATTGTTGTCAACAGTTGTGGCACTTGAATTAAACCCATTTAAATAGAATATGATTATTTAGATATATTAATATTGAAAAAGAAGATTAGTAACGAATTCATATATTAATATTTACGTAATGTAATTAGTTTTCGTTTTTAGTAATAGTTGTACGTAATTCATTCTATAGTCTGAAGGAGACAAGGAATGAAAGTTGTCGAAACGTGTTAGTGTGAAGAATGTAATTAAACAAAAATGTGAAAATTTCATAGTGTTTTGTAAATAAGCGAACCAAAAAAGGGTCATTACAATATATTAAATAATACTATTAAAAAATCTATGTTTATGATGTTCATTTTCAGGTATTTTTTTGTTACTTTCTTTATGCAGAGAGCTGCTGACGGGAGTAGGCTGAGTTTATTGTTATGATTCTAGTCATTTGTAAACGTATATTCCGCAAACCCCAGAAAACAATACCGCGTAAAACATTTAAAAAAATTCGCCGTGAAGATCAAAATTTAGAAGAAATAAAGAAAAAAAACTATTCTAAACATTGTACATTTTAGTGCAGTACGTTACAGAGAATACCATATTATATGATTTCCGTTTGTTTCGTACAATTTTAAATATATCAAATCCTGTAGCCTTGGACATATATGTACCTTTAACACCTACGTATGACGAATCTATTCTGAAAGAACAGTTCAAATGACTACACTTTTCGGTACTCAGTCCTCGGTACGACAGTACTCATTCTGCACACTTCCATTATTATCAATTAACTTCAGTTAGCTTATTGTCAAGATAAGTTGGTCCTGAAAGGCCAACAAGAAATCTTCAGTTTCTGAGAAGATCGGCTCTGATGTGAGGCAATGCTCTCATAGCGCTTGACTCATCTCACGTGTGTCTTCAATGAAGGGATCCATGATAATTCATGCAGATGTATTTGCTTCATTATTGTTATTGTTATTAATACATTTAACCATCTCCTCACAGTTAGTTACAGTTGAAAGTTTAAACATATAATTCCCGTTTTGCAATTGCCAATTATTTTTACTTATGTTTGACAGTTCTAAGAATTTCATGCTCAAAGGCTTGGACGTCTCATCACGCACATAGCCAGTAGATGCATTAAATGTACTCCAAATAAGCATAATGTTTGCAATTTATGTGAGCTTGTTCAGCAGATACTATGAAACAAAATGCATAACTTGGGACGTTAACTGCCTAACATGTGCATTTCAGGATTGTGAACCTTACAAATATAATATAGAACCATAAAAGAACAACTCCACTGAAATCTGAATATCTTCTTCCGGCTTAATTATTCTACAAGCTACAAAAATGTGGTTCAGTCATTTTCATAAACTCATAATCAATGGGTTAGTTCATTTCTAGATCATATACACAGATCTTTCAATAGTTGAATGGAAAATGTAATTTATCACAACACGTTATAAAAATTTTCGTGTATTTACAGGAAATAATGCGTTGACACCTCTATTTATTGGAGCGATAACATTTAAAGGGCCATCATTCCCTTAAGTAGAGTTGTTTGAACCACCTATTTCTCAACTACAGACGTCGACGACAGGTTTCTTTTATATTGAGGACGTCAGCGTGCTTGTCTTAGTCCCCGCATTGCGTTCTTTCTTTGGGGGAGCAATAACCTATTCATGAGGGTGAAGGTGGGGTATATTATGGCCTACTTATCCCGTTGATGCCTCCTGACCGCTATTTTGAAGGGACGCATAGATTCAGGAACACGCCGGCTATCCTCAGCAGCGACGTGTTGTACAAAGTAGGCAGGGTCTACAGATTGTCATGTTCATCAAATTAATGTTATTGGCTGCCTGGAAACTTGCTCACGTGGCGGTGGAGGTACTAATTGCCTAACTGGCTGAGTTACCGACTTGATTTTGGCCGCTTGCGCCCGCGCGTCCTCCAAAACACGAGCCACGTCCATCACTATCGAGAATGAAGAGGCACCTTCACCTGTCGCATGGCTTTGACTGGCCCCTGACGCTCCAAGTGCACGCCGGACAGGATCGTGCAGGGAATTGATGGCATTACGGTCGGATTGATTAGGAAAAGTGAGACAGTTTCTAAGTCAGAGTAATCTAATTGAAATGATGCTGAAAGAAATTTCGAGAGTTTGTTTTATACCATCCTTTTGTCAATTGGTTTACAGAGCGAAAAAAAAAGTATTCTGTAAGATTAATAGAAACTAAACAAAACTTATTAGAATGCAAGACAAAGCAGTGAACGTTTTAGACACAAACAATATCCAGCATCTATATCCTCTGTTGCCATATTTTCGCATTCCTAGCTATCACAAGTGCCTCAATGCAACTTGAAGTTCTAACAAGGAAGGTCAAAGAAGTAAACAATTTACAAACCCATTCGCTTCTACATTTTAGAATGATTCTAATTGTGCCTTCTTAAACTTTTCGAGTAAATTTAGATATCACCAACAAATATAAATTGAATTTTCAATGTTATATTTTTGAGGTGAGTTGTGTGTTTAGTAATCGAAGGTGGTAGAAAACTTTCAAAATACACTTGCCAAATAAATGCATTTCCTTATCCTCGACTCAAATAACATTTTATATAATAATGTATCAAAGGAATCTGACTCTCCACGAAATGGTATGTATGTTTACTGTGGGCCAAGGAAAGGACACACACTAAATAACGAACAATGGTAATCAGTATTCCAACTTTCAGTGTCGAAATTTCTTAACATATGCAGTCCATCTCTCTTGTTCTTAATCACTGGCACCTAGAAAGGACTTTTGGCATCGAATGGTTTCCTCCCTTATCTGTGGCAGCGATCTCTTTGCAGAACTGGCGCGTTATCTTTCGCCTTCCTTCGGTTTTGTCTTTTATTTCCCTTGTTCTCCTCCTTTCAGCAGCATATGTGACCAAAAAACTCAGGATTCAGAGTGGATAATCTGTTCTTATCGAGTTTTTGGATTACTGAAAGGTTGGTTCGCTATGTGGCCTGATGTTGGTTCGCTAAGGTTGGTTCCAATTCTTAGTTCATGCATTAACTGAAACTTTTCATTAAACAAAAAATTTCACAATAAAAGATTCCCTCAACAAAATATTTTTTGTTCGGTTTTGTTTTATTTCATGATTTCCAAATGATTAGAAGGCTTTTAGTTTAGGTATTACATGTATTGCCGTATTTCAGGTGGATGTGATGAATACAAATGTAATGATGAAATAAAATTTGAAATCGCATAGAAACTGTTATCCTGTGTGAAACTGTATGTTCTTAACATTACCCACGGCCAAAATAATGAATTGTTAATTATTTGAAACAAACACTGAATAAATGCACACGGAATTTGCTTGATTTTTTCGTGTCCGCCTTTGATTCTTTGTCGAACGTACGAAGATGACTCTTAGATTTCGCATTACGCAGGTGTGCATGTATATAATACCACCACTAGAAATTTCATTTAACAGCCCCTTTTATTGCAAATAATCGAGTCGCGATTAATCCAGGCAGAATCAACCGAAATAGAACGATGTGTTTCCATAATGAGGAAGTACCAGCTTCAGTGAACGTGTCCAAGAGGGTTGTCACTGTCTAATGAAGTTGCAAATGTCATTCTGTTAGTGGTTTTTAGAATCAAATTTATTCGTACAAAAGGGCATCTAGTATAAGAGATTAGACGTGATACAATATTCGTCATTAAATACAAATCTATGAGGTTACACTAATAATGTAATTTATTAATATACGCAAACATTGAATTGATGATCTTTTCTGTTTGATATGGTTTTTTTTTCTCGCGTATAGGCCAACTCGGACCACGCGTGCATTCTGCTTTAGCAGGGGCCAGTACCTTTCTGAGGGGAGGGATCAGCATTTTAGCCGATTCCCGATTTTTATACCCCAAGGTTGTTATCTCTGGGGGTATGGCCGATGAGTTGATGATAGTGAGGTACGAAAAGACGGCACACTAATATAGACATACATATAAACGTAGAGAAATAAACCCATGCCCGAGGCGGGGCTAGAACACGCGGTCTTCCGCTCCGAGGCCTCGGCCATCTGACCGACTATGATATGGTTTATGATTATTGAATTAAAGATTTCTCTACGAACGCACCATTGTTGTCAGAAGTTTTTTCTTAAGAGGGCTTTTAAATCATTTCAAGGGTCTGTTTTAAATTTTACATATACTTGTATCTTGTTTAACTTATACCCATTCCAACAAGCCGACGCTT